CAAGCACTGCTCCCCTGCAACACTCCCCATCTCCACTCCTACCCCCAAAACACACCCGCCCTCTAAGATGCCTGTGTTGCCATGTGGGACCCAGCTTGGGAAGGCAGTGGCAAGGAGATGCTTCAGAGAGGAAGAGAGGAAGAAACAGACTCAAGGAAAGGGAATGTGGGCCATCAGCCATGGAGAGAAGACAAGGAAGAGAGAGAGAAGCTGGACGATGCTGTGACAAGGGTGGGTACCTCTGGGAAGCCATTTTCACATGACAAAGCAAACCTGGGAGTGGGCCTGGGAGAGGGCGGGAGAGTATCTTCCAGGGCCGCTTCAGTTCCCGGGGGTCCAGGCTTTCTGGGAGGTGGGGTGGGGGTCTTTTCCCTGCTTTATATCTCAAGTGGCAGTACTCCAGCTTTTAGGGCTGATCCTTCCTTTTAATATTTAAATGATAGTGGCTTATATTTAAGAAATATATGCTTAAGTCTATAGAGCTCAAGAGTTGTTTTATTCTGCAATGGATATGTCTGATGCCACAAAAATACACAATAAATAAAATAAAACCTTTTTAAATACATAGAGAAAGAGAAACAAAGTAAATGAATTATAAAAATCAAGAAAAGAGTGGGTCAACCCTTGCCAAATGGATGGGAAATTGGTGCCGTTCCTGCATTCCCACGGGCCTTGCTGGCTCTGATTTTCTGAGCTGGCCAAATCCTCTCATCATTTGTCTTCTGTTTGCTGGTACTCCCTTCTTCCCACCTCACGTGGACCCACACAAGGACGATCGCCCCTTCCTCCCTGATTCCCAGAGAACCCTGCACAAGGCAGGTGAGCCAAGATCCTGGGCCAATGGTTGGGGGCAAGGCTTACAGTACAGAGCATCAAAGGACATACATGAAAATTAAACATTTTTAAATCAAAATTTGCAAACACTATTTGCCTTTATGGTTTTCAAATGAGTAGTACCTGTTAATATCTTAATTGCATAGTATAGCAATATTTTCAATAGAGTGAGACAGCTGAAGGGTGGCCATTGATGTTTCATTGATGGAGGGCCAGCTTCAGGCTTTTTGCTCATTATCTCTTCTGCTCAAGACCCATCCTCCTGTCATAATGCTCAGTTGATTCTCTTTTCGCCTATACCTTCTCCTTCTCCCTGTCCACACAAACTTTGAATTCAGCTCAGTTTCTTATGCAGAAACACTCAGTTCTCTTATGTTCTGTTCCCTGCTTCCAAACTCTTGTGTCTGATTGTGGAGTAGGAGAGGGAGCTGCACTCTGTAGAGCCACAGGTCTATGAATTCATTTGCTTAAGCAAAAAATGATTTGACCCCTGAAAGCAATTATGTTAGCAGAGAGCAGAAGCATCAATGCAGTGTTTATTTTCAATAGCAATTAAAAAAATTCTTCCTACACCAAACTGTGGCCTCACCAAAGAACCCTATTTAAAATGTGGCAATCAGCAGCAATTTGTATGGGAACACAGTCTGCAAAGCCTGCAGCAGAAAAGCAGTGCTCTTTAAAATGAGCTGTAAGAATGCTGCTGTCATCAGATTTTCCTGGGTCGCTAGCTGGAAGAGACACCTAAGGCAATGTGAAGAATGCTGCCCCACCCCATGCTCCCAGCCTGGTGAGCCGCCCAACTAGCATTGTAGTCCTTGACCCGGCCCTCCCTCTGACAGCTCTCGTCTGTCTGTTTTACTCTGGATATATCCTATTCCTGGAAAATCTGCTTTCCTTGCCCTGTCCCCATGCTGTCGAATCTCTCAGGCTTCATATGAGCATGACTTACAAAACTCTGTCCCTCACATCATTTTGCCAGAACAAACATTCACAGGCAACATAAAATCCTTAGGAGCATCATCCCTGCTCTGTCATTTATTCCTCTGCCCTCCCAACTCCTTCAAGATGTTTCTTGTTTCTTGCCAGAGCAGCTTATTCCAGCTTTCACTTTGAGGGAAGCCAGTGCATTCTCTGCCTTGCTTCTGGAACTCTGGACCATCAGAAAGAACCATGCGAACATCACTGGTCCAACCAAGACCAGCCAAAGGCCTCTTTCTTCTAGACAAGACCACCTTGGAATCTTTTGATTGCAGTAAAATGGAAGTTTCAGGACAATAAAAAATAGAAACTTATTCAAGGGTCTCACTTTCTCACCCCCTATTAAATGAAGTACTAGATAAAATTTAAATAGCATCTGCACTCTTGGACAAAGGAGGGCTTCTTCAGCCACAGAGCCTCCAGGCCCCAGACCTGCAGAGGGCCCCAGTGAGTGAATGCTGGTCTTTGAAGCAGCCAAAACTCTATGAGTACACAGCACGACCTTTTTCAGGGCAGGATAGCTATCTCCACCCTCGTTATTTCATTCAGGCCAGAAGTTATGATCATAATCTTATTTTACCAGATTTGGATTGCTATGAGGTAAAGGTCATCCTAATTTTGGTAGAAACATAAAAGCAAGTAAACATGATTTCCAAACAAATGGACTTTGACCCTAGGGTTTGAAATATTCTTCTTCATTGTAATTGTAATTGCCCTGCAGAGGGACATTTAGACCTTGTACCTTTCCTTAAAATATGCAACTAACAGTCTCTGCCTGTTAATCCTATCTGCTTCCCTGGGAACTGTAAGGGTTGGAGCCAGGGGTCTCCTTTAGCAAACACCTGCCAGCAAGTGGTGCTGTTCTAAGAAGATCATTTGCCTTCCTTGAGAAACCCCTGCCCTGGTGCTTTACAGGCTGTGGATAAAGTGAAGGTTCCTGTGGCTAGGATTTTCACCTGGCCCTGGTTGCCTAGCTTACTACAATATGTGTGGGCAATATGTTGTTAATGACTCTATATAAAGAGCTCCGCCCAGTGCTCTGGGTGACACGATTGCTTAGCTGTAGGAGAGCAGAGACGAGACTGGAGTGGTGGCAGCACCGAGGATGGCTGTGCAGGTAGAGAGGCCCAGAGGCAGAGACCAGCTTGCTGCATGCAGACTCTCTCTGAGTGGATGGGATTCTAGTGATTGACATGAAGAATGTTCTATTGTCATTTCTTTGGTCATATTGAATCCATAGTGAACTTGCCTGGGGCTGAAACCCATTGGCAAGACACAGGTACTCCTGTGTTCTGCCTCAGTGACTGGTCGGGGACTGGCAACCTCTTCATCCTGAGCAATCAGAGTCCTTCCCAGGGAACCTAGTAATGGAAGCTCAGGAGAGACAGCCATTTCCTCTCTGGAGGTGAGACTGGGAAAGTGTTAGTCCAGAGCCATCAGCTGCCCTCAGACCCACTGCATGTCCCAAGCCCACCTGCAGGCGGAGAGAAGGGACCCAACACAAGAGAAGCCGAGGTGAGTGACACAGGGCAGGGGTGGGCATGAGAAGTACCCTGGGTACAGCCCTCTCAAGGTTCTGCTTTTAGGTTGTGTTTTTCTTTTCTGATGTTAGTTTTGACTTTCTAAACTACTCTGATCTCCCCAGTAAATATTTTTATGCTTATATGAATCTAAGTTGGTTTTCTATACTCGGAACTCAACGAATCCTGCCTAACAAATGGCCCCTAATTGATCTTGTGCCAATGGCCCATTCTCAGGAGACTGTAACATGCTCTCCCAGGAGCAGCAGCTGCCCTTTTCCTTCCTCATATTCCTATAACCTAGTGCATTCACAAGACCCTCTGAGTATCTCTTTTGGGAATAAGCAAGATGAAGTAATAATGATAACAGTGCTGATTTATGGATTTCAAAGCCCTTTCACATACCTTGTCTCAAACGTCAAGAATATCCAATCTATGGTATCTTTATAGTAGAAAGTTGATGTTTATCAGATATCACAGCCCAATAAAAACATCCTGTAGACCTTTAGCTTCCTTCCCTCATCTAATCTTAATTTGGCTTTCTAAGCAGGCTTCCTTATTGGGGAAAGAAGGAGCGAATGGCTGGGAGAAAGAGGGGAAGGGTGATGAAAATATTTGGTCAGCTTGGTTGCATTTCCTAAAAAGAAAATTATCTGGTTTCTGTTGTTGAAGATAAATCTCAGGGCCTCAGGTACCTAGGAGCCCAATCCCCCAATGGTGACCTGGCAACAAAGGTCAGGATCTACAAAGCTGAGGCCCCAGTGCTTCAGTCACTCATTCATTCAATAAGCTCGAGGCGAGCCAATTACATACCATGCATTATGGTAATTGTTATTGTCTGCACTCTCAGGAGTTTACAACCTTTTACAGTGGTTTTCAGATTGACTTGTACCCTGGAATCACCAGAGCTTTAAAAAATACTGCTACTTGAATGCCAGCCCCAGAGATTGTGATTTCATCAATCTGGGGTGTGGATATGTGGAGCTATGAAATGTCCCCAGGTGATTCTAAATGTGCAAACAAGTCTGAGAACCACTGGTCTGGGGGTTAGGGGATAGGTGAATAAGCAGGGAAATATTAGAAAGGGTTCAAACACTTGATGGGCTGGAACTAGATGAGACTCTCAGCCCAGGCTTGAAGACCCTGAGAGCCTTCCCTGAGGAGGCAGCTGAGACCTGAGGGATCCTGCAAACTGGCCAGGTGATAACATTGGGAATATGGGACAGCAGGGTCTTCTGAGCAAAAAGAAGCATAAATGTCATAATAAAATGCTGTGAAGAGAGCGGGCCCAGTATGTTGGAGAACAGAAAATATCCTTACAGCCAAGGAGAGACAGGAGGTGATAAAGATTGAGCTGCAAGAGGTGAGCAAAGATCAAAACACAAAAATTGAGGTTTTCAGATGTAATTTTGAAGGCAAATGGAGACACATTTATGAGGCATGCAGCAGTAGAATGCAAGGGTCAGCTGTGTTAGAGACAAAGCCCTCTTTCAGCTGCCACTCATCAGAATGACTGCATGGCCACACCTACAAGTAGGGCCAGCCTGGTAACAGTGTGGTTCATGCGGATTGCTGATTGTGTTAATGATTCAGCCTTTCATCTTAAAATCTCATCTGTACCTAGTTCTGGTATTTCATGTGTTTATAGGCTTCTTTTTCTCCCCAGGAGATCAAAGCAGCTGCATCATTTCATTAACCTTCCCTCAGCACCACTGGAGAAGATGGTGAGGTAAATTATATTAGTGAAAATTTTAAACACTTGAAGTTTGAAAGACTTGCCAAAAAGTCAGTACGATAAGCTGAGAAAATGCCAGGTTCTGGGGCTGGCTTTTCCTCTGATTCTTAGGCTCCAATTTATCTCTAAGATGATACTGTGGAAAGGAACAGGTCAGCTTTGAGCACTTCCGCAGAGAGGGGCAATGCTGAGCTTCAAGCTAACGTGCACGTAGAAAAAAATCAGAGGGGAATGAAATTGCTTTTTGCTCAGGAAACTCTTCCAATTTCAGTTCCAGGGCAATAGTTAATTCATGAACTGAGCTGTGAGAGAAATGAATACACTGCTTCCCGGAGGAATAGGGATCTGGCCAACTCTCCAACAGCTAATACGGGTTTGAGGCTATTTTACATTTGTCCTCATGTGGGAGAAACTAGATATTACTTATCTAAACCTAAAACACTTTGAATTGGTTTTGACCTAGTAGATTTTTCCTAATTCAGACACCACACGTTGAGGTTGGCCTGTTTATTCCGTTTTGAATCAATGCCAGTAACTGTAGGCCCAGATCTGATTTTCTGCTGCTTTTACCTGAAGTTCCTTCTTACTTGATCTCCTAAAATAGAGGGTTCGAGCTTTCTTTATACCTTTAAGTTCCAGCTCTGAGCTCAGCCCCTTGCCTGAATTCAGACAAAGAAGTCAAAATATAGATTAAACCAGTGCTTTTCAAGCTGTAATTTACCCCCAGATCACCTGGGGATCCATGGAAGTGCAGACCCCACATTCTGCATTTCTGACAAGCTCCCAGGTGGTGTCCATGTTGCAGGTCCATGAACCACACTTTTTCTCTTTATGTTTGGAAGCTCTGAGGAGATCTCTCTTCTCAAAACCATCTTTGCCATCAATCTGCTTCAGTTTCTATCATTAGAGAATCATGTGAGTCTTGAAGGCTTTTGCGCTTCCAGCATCTGCTTGTTAAAGCCTTTCCCTGGAGGATTAATATTTGATGCTACCTCTCAGCTAACAGTATCAGGGATTAGGTTTCAGTTGGTTGAAATACAAACCCGAATGGAATAAATAAGGACTGTGGGTATTGAAGAGACAAAGGCAGCCAGAAACAAAGAAAGGGACTTACTGATGATACAGACCTCCCCAATGAAAAGGAAACAAACAAAAGTGAAGCCATTCTTCTTGTCCTCACAGGAGCTGCAAACCAGAGAACGTTACCTAGAACACTCTGGAGAGTCACACACAGCCTTGGAGGTCAATCCCACTCTGTCCAAGGATTAGGGTTGGGGACAAATTCTGTGACCTTCTGCATCAGTTTCCTAATCTGTAGAGTGGAAGTGACCACATCTGCCCCATCCACCCTGAGTTATTGTGAGGCTTAAATGAGATCTTTAAACTCAGATATTGCCAAGCACTTAGTATGGTAACCCTAATAGTCACTCAAAATATAATCAAATGTAACTAATTGTGCCAGCAAATTTGCAAAGTTCAGATTAGTAGAGGACTCAAGAAGGACTTCAGGAATTCAGGCTTCAGTGGGAGGTGAAGGGAATGCAGTTTATTCCACAATTTGCCCTCTTACATATCGTTCCATTTCATCTCTTAGTCTTGGATGATCTCTTCCTCTACCCCTTTCTTTAATGACTGGTCCCATCTAATTTACTTGCAGTTTCCCCCTAGGGAAATGTCATATTCAAGAGGAGAAACACCCCCAGGAGTCATTATGGATCTATCTTGGTATACCTTACTTAAATAAAAGGCAACACTGGAAATCGATTTCTTCACTTGCCATTTAGTAGCTGACTTTGGATTTCCTGCTCTGTAAAGTGGGAGCAAGAATCGCTATCTCAGATGCTTGTTTTGTAACTCAAATGAAACATTGTATATGGCCCCTTAGTAATTAAAAGTTACAGTCCCCCTCTGCCTCAAAACCCTCCACCAATGTCCCGTCATCCCATCATGTCAAATGCACAAATCCCTTAGGAGAAAATAGACCAAGGGAAAGATTGATTATAGCCTGATTTCTTCATTTTTTTCCCCAAACTTGAAATGCTCACTCTTGTCCTTTTCGTCCTTATCCAAGGTGATACTGCCAATCTTTCCCTCAGTTGTAGCTGCCCAAAGAATTATTGGAGAAGCTGAGTTGAATGTGATGTTTCAGGTGTGTTCTTTTCTAACAATAGGTCTAAACAGGACAACCTGAAATTTCCAGGGAGCTCAGCATCTCAACCACTCATCCTCAGGATGGGAACTTCTCATGGGAAATAAGGTGTTAGGGACACACTGGCAGGGGCACAGGGAGGCCCGGAGAGGGGGTCCTGCTTCTTCCTGCTAGAACTCAAATGACCCCAAGCCAAGAATCAGATGCAAAATTGCCAACATATACTTTGTTTCCTAACATGATGTCTCAATTTAGACTATGATGATTTTTCTAAAATCCCACTTAATATGTTTTGTTCTATATGGGCTAGCAGATGGGGGCTGCAGAGCAGAACAGCTGTACAGTATAAGTCACTTTGTAGGGTGACAGGATCCATGTATCTGAGAGGAGTAGCAAGCTGTTAAAAAAAATAAAAGAATCAGGTCAACACCTAGGTATTTTGAAGGGGAAAAACAGTAATTTGAAAATCTAGGGGTTCATCTGATTGTTTTTTTGAGATAGGAAATGAAGTATTGAGATACTGCTTAGATAGGACACCACCTTACCAATTCTTTCAACCACTCTGGGCCTTGGTTTACTCATCCAGAAAATGAGCCTGTTTTGGGTCAGAGGTGACAGATTTCACTTTATGTGAAACTCTAACCTGTGGCAGTGGCTACTATGAAGGCCTGATGAATCTGCAGCTCTAGCTAGACTGGTGTCACAACAGATATAATACCTGTCACAGGTCTAGTACAATCAGTTACAGCCATTCTAACACCTGCAACCATCTGAATCAGATGGTCTCTGAAATCCCCTGAGTTATTCATTCTAATGTACTCACCACAGGATAAAGGGCACAGAGGAGCTGTAAAAGATTAGATTGGGGAGCCCAAGAGAGAGAAGACTAACCTAGAGATCACTAGGGATGGTAGCTTTGGCTAAAAGAAGTCCTGAAGTTTGGCTTGCCTTGCCATAAACACCACCTGCAAATCCAAGCCCAGGCAATATGTATGACACAGAGACAAAAAAAAGTATTTTTTTAAACAACAAAGATATAGGTTCTCCTAGTTTCTTGACTCTCTTGGTACTTGTAATGGGTTGAATGGTGGTCCCCCAAAGATTTGTCCATTTCCTAATGCCCAGAATCTGTGAATATTACCTTACTTCAAAAAAAAAGGTCTGCATAAGTAATTAAGCTCAAGACCTTGAGATGGGCTTATCCTGAATTTCATCCTGGATCACATCCTAGATTAACCCTAAATCCAAAGTCAAGCATCCTTATAAGAGCCAGGAGAGAAGGCATATGACCAGGAGAAGAGGTGGTGACCACAGAGGCAGAGGATGGAGTGATACAGTCAAGGAGGCCAAGTTCTCCCAGCCACCAGTGGCTAAACAAGGCAAGGCAGGGCTGTCCCGTAGCCTCCAGCACTGTGAGAGAGTAACTTCGCACTGTTGTAAGCCACCAAGTTTGGGGTTATCTTTAGAACAGCCCCAGGAAACTAATGCAGCTCCCGACAGCAGTAACAGTGGCTCAGGCTGGCCGGAGATCAGGGCAGCGGCTTTGCGCAGCTGGCATCGCTCCAGAGCTTCATCACTCCTTCCTGCCTCCCATGCCCTTCAGGCTCCTTGTTTTACACAACATCATTTCCGCAGCCCCCAACAAGGAGACCCTGCCTGTATTCCTGGGCCTCTCCACTCTGGTCACCACCTTGGCCCTCAAATGACCTCACTCAGGCCAGCCTTGACCTTGGCCAAGTTCTGTAGTTGAACTCAGCTACCAGTCTCATCATTTATCAACATTCTCTTCAAACTGAATCCTCCTGGCCATGTTGGAGAACATACTCTCAAGCTAGACTTCCTCGTTTTTACTACCCCCAAATGACAGCTCACAACTGCACCTAAAAATATTGTGGAAGCTCTGCCAACGTTTGGCAGATCGGTAGTGGTGCAAGAGAAGAACTCAGAAGTGAGTGAGCTCCCTTTAATAGTGTTTAGTAAGGAAACTTTCCTCTCCAATTTGCAATAAATAGTGGACAAAGGGGCCATTTCTAAAATTTCATCTCTATGGCCTCAGAATTTCAATCTACAGGAACAGTATTTCACATAAGAACAAAGGGACCAAACTTTGGATTTCTTTTGATGCTATTGTCTCTGCCCTCCCATTTTCTAATCATGTGTATTATTTGCTCATATTGAGGAATCTGAGCTTCCCCACATAGCAACTCTTTCCCCCAAACTCAGACTATGCACTCTCTACCTCTTCTTCTTAGTTCATCCCATAGCACTTCTTTACACTGAGACCCTGCTAGGAAAAACAGCAAGCTGTTTCTGTCCCCACCAGCCTGCTCTTTATCCACCAAAAGCCCAGTCTCATTCTCCTTGACGTGATGGCTCTGTGTGGCATTTTAGGCTCTGGTACCTCACACTGCACCCCCTCTGCTGCCTCAGCTCTAGCTCCTGCCCTCCACCTGCCCATCACTTGTTCATCTCACCATGCTCTTCTGTATCTGTAAACACCTGGCTTTTGACAGAAATGCAGGTTACAAATATTGCCTCTGACTTCCTTAGGCAAGCTTCAGTCTTCCTGACTGTTCCCACCAGTTTACCCAACCCTATTGTAAGTGGGACCTGGACCCTGGGAAGTGTGCCTGGTCATCCGGACAAATGCTCCAAGCTATCACCACAATCTCAGCACCCGAGGCAAAGGCCTCACTTCCCATCATAATATCTCTCAGAAGTTCACCTGAGAGAGGAGTCATAGTGCTTGTGAATGACTGATTAGACAGAAAAGGCTCTCCCCTTGGGACTAGAAGCCTAACAGGCCCAGGCATTCCCTTCCCCTGAGGTGTGTTCCTCATGGTCCCTGTAGGCCAAAACATGGGGACCATCTGTACCTCCTCAAAAATAAGTCATTTCAACAAACATTGGTCAGAGTATTCATTTGCTTGGGCTGCCATAAACTGTCATGAAGCGGGTGGCTTAAAACCAAAAAGGCATTGTGTTATTGTTCTGGAGCCTCAGAAGTGTGGAATTAAGGGCTGCTCCCCGCTGAGGGGCAATGTGTCCCATGTCTGTCTCCCGGCTCCTGCTGGCTGCTGGCATTCCTCAGCTTCCAGGGAGCACTCTCCCTGTGTCTTCATGTCGTATTCCTTCCGTGCCTACCTGTCTGTGCATCTGTAGTTCCCCGTTTTATAAGGTCACCAGTCATACTGGGTCAGGAATCACTTTAGTGACCTTATCTATTTTGATCATCTGGAAATACCCTATTTCCAAATAAGGTCATTTTCTCAGGACCTGGGGGCTAGGACTCCAACATCTTCTGGGGGGACATAATTCAACCCATAACACTTAGGTCCAGTGTATTCTTACTTATGTTAAGGGGGCATTCATAAAGACCTCATTTAAAGATTTTGTTAATTTTTCTTAAAGAAAAATAATAGTTGAATGCAAAGTGGAGGAACTATTATCTCAAAATGTATTTATCCACAAACATAACATGTTTATCCTTTAATATTTCTTTTTTTTCTTCCCAACATTTTCTCTAATACTTTCCTTTGGGAACTCACTGAATTCACTGCTTGGCCTGTCTCAGTGGTTATTCAGCTTGTGCAATGGCATCTTACGTAACTTCCACTGCATACTTACAGATTTTCAGATCTGATTTTTAGCACCCCTTCAAACAGTGGGACTTAATGAAATCTTGGATGATTTCATTATGTGGTACAAGAAGTTTTAAATGTTTAAGTAGCAATGAATATTAAAATAACAGCCCAAAAGTGACTGAAATCCCTTGTGGTGATTCTAGTGCAGGTACACATGACAGTGACCCACAGCCCACTGACCAAGGAAGCAGGGTGTTTTCATCAAGCAGCTGAAGTGACACTGTCGTCTGGCAGTAGCATGGACAACATAGGAGGATATATGTAATTCATATGGGTCCATGCCTTGAAGTTGTATGATTTTTTTTTTTTAGTGTGAGGAATTTTTGTTGTGGTGGTTTTTTTTTCAAATTTGGGTAACCAGTGAGACTTAATTGATATATTCAGGTCACACTGTCTTAAATTCACATAGTTCAAATCTGCCTTAAGTGTCACTGGCCTGTGTAAGAAGTGCCTTCCCGGCAGGAGGAAGACCGACAGCATAACTACTCACAGGAAGCACGGCTCGTGGAAGTTACATGTCTGGTTACTGAGGCCAGCCTGGGGTACATTGGGAATAAATGGGTGTTAGATATGTCTCTGGTCATCCATCTTTAAATTATTTATTCCCTGGTCCTCCCTGCCTAACTATGAAGTTTTCTAACAAAAGAAACATTACTTTTATTATGTGTTCTTCTGTCCTCCCCTGCCCCCAGCCACCAAAATAGACCTTGGCATCAATGCTAAGTTCCTAAAGCAAAATGGCCTAAAGGCAGCATGAGCCAGTAATGCTCAGCAGTCACGCTATGGGCGGCCACGTACTGGGAGTCCTGAGACTTAGCTTTTAGTCTTGGCTCTGCCACCAAGTTATACTTCCTGGAACAATTTGTTTAACTTCTCTGGGCTTCCATTTCACCATAGCGAATGGTTTTGTATGGTTTTGTTTGGTAAAGTGAGGTAATGCTAATGACAGCACAGGAGATACACGGATATCCTCTTGTAGAGACAAGCACGGGTCAACTGAAGGGGATCTCACATCACACGTCCTCTCCTCTCCTCACTAAGCCCGTGGTTGTCCCGAGTGTCCAGGAGTGCTGTGAGCCGCAGAGAGCCCTCTGGGCTGCTCCCACCAGTTTTCCCAACTGTCTCAGTATGAATGGCCTCCCCCACCCAATGCTACCCCGATTTTAGTCTGTGCCTTCATCTAGCCCCAGTGGGGAAGAAAAGGCTATCTTGGCAGTGTTGTGCTGACCCTGAATTTGACTGCCTGGTAGGTTGTGGACAGACCAGCCCTTGGGCTCCTGGACAAAAGGGTGCTCGGTTGACACAGTGTCCTTATTTTCTGAACCAACATGCATGATGCGTTCCACAAGAGATTTGTAAATTTCCAAAGTAAAATAATCTGAAAAATATTAAAATAAAATCACGGTTAAGTCTCTAATTAAATGTCTTAATGAAAAAGGAACAAAATTACATTAGATGCATCTGCCTAATGAGATCCAGAATGAGACACATGATCGTACACGTTCCCTTACTAGTGAGGAACAGGAATCCTCTCCTCGGCCCCCACCATCTTCTGTTGCTAATTCCACAATCCTTTCCTCTCTGTATGAAGGAAGAATTTAATTTTCAGCCTCACAGAAAAATATAAAAAAGGAAGAACGCATTTTTTCCTAGTCTTTAACAATTTTAATGTAAAAACATGTTCAAAGTGCAAAAGCCTGTTATATTCGCCCCATCTTCAGGAATGGGGATTCCCAGAAAGGTCTGGGAATTTTACTTTTTGGTTTCATGCTCAGCATCTGGATTGGTTTGTTTCCGTTGATTATTTCTCATTTTGGGAGGGGTGAGTGGAGAGATAAAGGCATTAGGTACTCTTGCCTGCCCCACCAGCACCAGCAACAACTGGGTGTCAGTAGGAGATAGTGGGAAATGAGCTGGGATTCCAACATCTGTGAGCCAGGCCGCCTTAGAGCAGATGTGGAAGTAGGAGTGGCAGGCAGAAGTCAGGAAGACAGCACCTTGCCTTTGCAAGGTGGGAGCAAATCACTTCTTGGGAAAATAAAATGGCTTCATAGGCATGAGTTTCATTCTATTCATTTTTTTCTGGAAACAGTGCTCAGAGAGAGTTGATGAAGAGGTCAGAATACACAGTTGTTTTAGAGCCATTCAGCAATTTTTTTCTCCACTCAACCAAGAAGCCATTAGAATTGCCAACAGTTGACATTGCCTGACAACTTGTCTACAGGGAAACCCAATTATCACAAAGAAACCTCTCTTGTCTCAGGTCAGTTTACTAGCCGACCAGCTTTCAGAGAAGAGAAGGAAGCCGATGTTTCTCATACTGACTTCAATGGGCCTCCAGCCCACCCCTCTGGCAGCAGAGATGGATCTAACTCTCACTCCTCAACAAGCCTTGTGGGTCTAGTCAGTGCTTAGAGGAACCAGGCTGCATCTCAGTTGTTGTCTTTTTTTTAAAGAGAAATGATATTTTTCTGGTTTTGAAAATAACCAAGAGCTTCAGTGCTAACTCTCAAGGTGAACTTGTCTGACTGAAGCACGGCTGCAGACTATGACCTGCCAGCTTGAGTGACAGGCTGTTTACACTCATTAGGAGACTCTGAGAAGTGAAGGCCTCTGTGGATTTCTTGATCTTTCTGAATATTAGAAACAGAATGTTTTTTAAAAGGGCATGATTTAGGAGTCATCTACCTTATGTTTCCTAATCTGTGTATTTAAACTTCTGTGGAGTTTATCAATCAGAAGAGGCATTAGTGATAAATAATTAATAGTGGAAACCATAAAAGTACAGAATGTGTGGTTATTTAGAAGGAGAACAGTGCAGTGGTTAAGACACAGCCTCTGGAGCCAGCCTACATTTGAATGCTGGCTGTGTGACCTTGGACAAATGACTGTCTTTCTGAACCTATTTCCCCATCTGTAAAAAGGGCATGATTAAAGTACTTTTACACATGATTATTATAAGGACTAACTAGAATCTCTGGGGTTGAGATGGAGATTTAAAAAGGTATTTTGTGATTCCCATGTACAGCGAGGCTCCCCAGCCAGTGTACCCCCTGCCTATGGAATCTTGGCTGCTCCTCAGAGGATGCTGAAGTGTGGAAGAGGCTTGGATTTCAGACCAGACTGGCAGACTGAGAGCCTGGTAAGTGAATTCCTTCCACAAGCTTCCCTTCCACAGGCCCTGTGTGCAAGAAAGGGGTCCTCTCCACTCTAGATGTCTATTTCTTGTGCCACATAAAAAGCAAAGCCCTCCAGATGCCCCCACTGGCCCAAGGCACAGCCATGACCTCCTTCCCACTCACTGGTTGGGTAGCCCTGCTCAAAGTGACATCTCTGTGCTGTAGAGCCAAGGGCTGGGGAGGTCTGGTGGGATTCCTGGGAGGTGTGGCTACGCTAGCCGGGATTCCTGGGAGGTCTCTACACTAGACGCTTCCAGCAGCTTGTAGATGAGGTTCCTTTAGGACATCTACAAAGCAGCAGGAGGCCTTCTTTAACCGTGCAGGCCTCTGCAGCAAATAGGGGCTTCCTCATATCATAGTAATGAAAATAACATAAAATATAAAAATATACAAAAATTTTATTGAATCTGAAATCCAGTTGAATTATTAAGGTATTTTCAACCTGACTTTTGTCAATGAAAGAAAAAGGAAGTATTATTTGCTTCTTTAAATATCATTTTTGGATTGCTATTACATGACTTTAAAACATGTATGCCCAACTTGAGAGTAACAGTTTTTGTCAGGAATTTTAAGAGATTATTATTTAGAATCTTCACCAGAAATTGCATGTAACCATTTTGTGTGTACAACCTAATTTTTTAGAAAAGCATGAAAAGGAGGAAGTCTCAAGTTTATCTTTTTTGTTTGTTTGTTTTGTTTTTTTTGTTTTTACTTTTTTTATTGACATACAATAAAAAAGTGTAGTTGATAGACAATATTATATTGATTTCAAGTATACATCAGTGATTCAACAGTTATTGACATCATTAAACACTCACCCCAACACATGTAGTTATTTATGATTTGTCAACACTGACAGAGGTTGTTATTGACTACTGTTTTTATTTTTTATTTTTTGAGAGGGCATCTTTCGTATTTATTGATCAAATGGTTGTTAACAACAATAAAATTCTGTATAGGGGACTTAATGCACAATCATTAATCAACCCCAGGCTAATTCTCAACAGTCTCCAATTTTCTGAAGCATAACGAACAAGTTCTTACATGGTGAACAGTGCAAGGGCAGTCATATCACAGAAACTTTCAGTTTTGATCATGCATCATGAACTATAAACAATCAGGTCAAATATGATTATTTGTTTGATTTTTATACTTGATTTAAATGTGAATCGCACATTTCTCCCTTATTATTATTGTTATTATTAATAAAATGCTGAAGTGGTGGGTAGATGCAAGATAAAGGTAGAAAACATAATTTAGTGCTGTAAGAGGGCAAATGTAGATGATCAGGTGTCAAGTTTATCTTTTAAAAAATGTGAAAAGACTGTATGAAAGTTTCATACAAATTCATTTTCTTAATATATTTATGTAATATAAGAAAATAATGATTTTTTCATCAATACCCATGGAGATGCCCTATAGCTTACCCCAAAGTGATGAACAAATATTGTTTTCTGTGTGTGCCATGACAGGTCAGGAAGCATGGCCTTAAAGAGAAACTTTTGTGTGAAACATATGGAAAAATGTTTATAGCAGCATTCTCTATAATAGTGAAACAAACAGGAAACCACCCAAAAGCCCATCATCAATAGAATGAATAAATGGCAGTGTGCTCATTCAATGAAATAACATGCAACAGGGGAAATCAATGAACTTCAGCAACATGTCAACATGAATGAATCTCAGAAGCTTCATATTGAGGAAAGAAAAAAAGAGACAGAATAAAACATATAAAGGCAAAACCAAAAAAAGGCAAAACCAAACAATAAATTCAGGGGAGAGGAGATTAGAACCATTCATTCATTCAGGTCTGCTCAGACCTCAGGGACTTGCTGCTTACTGTTTTTTCTGCCTAAAATACTCTTTCCCCAGAGAGCAATGTCATGTGTCCTTCACTGCAATTAGGTCTCTGCTCAAACACTACCTTATCTGTAAGGTCTTCCGAGACCAACTGATAAAAAATCATGCAAGGGAACATGGAGCATACACACTCACACACACATCCAAATATACACATGCACATACCACACACTGAAACATGTCATGTGCATATCTCTTACCCATCTTATTTGACTTCTGTTCATATCAACATAGACATATAGATTTACTTGTCTACTGCCTGCCCTCCCACCCCCAACCAAGAGGGCAAGAGCTTATTTTGCTCACTGCTGTCTCTCGGCTACTGAAGAAAGTGACTGGCACATACCAGGAGTTCAGTAAAAATCTATTGGATCCAAATGGGGGTTTACGTTGCACATTATCACAGCCCTCCAAATTCTAGTACAGGTACCAAATGTAGAGTCACCAACTTGGGTATGTAAAACTGAAACTTCATTTTGTTATATTTTATTTTGTTCTCAAACCCTAATTTCCACTGGTTGAAGAAATCTAAAACTTCCCATTTCAAGGTAAACCTTTCCCTTCTGGATTTTTCCTCAGGCTTTCCTTTGGGTAATTGGTAATGTAACATTTTATTCCAGTCACCATCTGGCCCTTGTATCTCTCTCTCTCTTTGGAGGGGAGCCTAGTTCCCGGGGCATGGGGCTTATAGTGCAACACGAGGGCCCCTTGCCTCCTCCGTATAGCCCTGTTGTGTGCTGACATCTATGACAGTGCTACTTGTCCTGTCGGATCTTTGTTCAGTTTTATTTCCTCCCTGCAGCCACCACTGAATGTTTGAAGTCTTCCTATGTTCTCTGCTCATTGGAGCTGCCCACACCCTTGATTATCTTTTCTTTTATAACAAGGCATCACCACCACCTGTGAGCCTCTCTAAGAGGCTTAGGCAACTTTCAGATAACTTCCTGTACCACCCCAGAATTGCAAGAGATCCAGGAAAGGGGATGCAAAAGTTTTCTATCAACACAGTACTCCCCACACCATTTCTGTTGCACTTGCCCCATGTCGATCTATGAATCTGCTGCCATTCAGGCTTCACCCAGAAGAAGGTGCTGTGAGGTGCCCCCAAACTCATCTGGCACTTCCCTCGTGCCCATCTTGGGCATCCTCCTCTACCAGTAAATCAAGCTGGGTCACACATCTCTCAAGCAGCAAACAAGCTTTCCCATCATCCTGAACCCTTCCCCACTCTCTAAGAACTTAAAAATCTTTCCCCTCAGAAATCTTGGTTCTCATTCTATTGCCAGAGGTTTTCATAAGAGCTGACTCTATTCAGAAACTCGACTGATTCTGAACGTACCGTCTCTTAGAGCAAGGAATGACCCAGTGGGTGGAGAGCTGGGGGCAGCAAGCAAACTGAGGAAAAGAGGAACATATGTTGTTTTCTTGGAACTTTATCTCGCCACAGCCGAACCCATGGCACCACAAGAGTTTAGGAAATGGCTTTGCGAGTTTAGACAATGCTTTATTTACCTAATCCTTTGGGAAATCTCCAAAAGGATTATCTTCTCTCTAACAGATGTTCACTACCTGCACCTCCCACTTTTTGTTTTTAATTTAACAATTCCTGATGGAAATATATGTACCACATATTTCATACCTTCCACATTTATTCAGTGTATAAACCAAAAGATAATGACCCAATTTTTGAAAGAACGTTATCTTATCGAGAATATCAATTATTACTCAGGGCTCCTCCCTAGCTCTGGGAATTGTTATGGGTTAGGGGAATGGGCAGGATGCTTTCACTTTTCCTACCTCCTGGCTCATCTGTCCTTTCTTCCACCTCCTTTCTCACAGCAGCTTCTCTCAAGGTTACCATCCAGCCCATCAGGAGTCACGCCTGGCACCCTTTCTGCCTACAGCAGGCTGTTCTGGCTTCTCCAGATGTGGCCCTTGACCAGCAGCATCAACATCACCCAGAAGCTTTCAGAAATACAGAGTCCTGGACCCCACCCCAGACCCACTGAATCGGAGCCTGCCTCTTATCAAGGTCCCAGCGTGGCTCATGGGCATGTTAAAGTTGGAGAAGCACTGCTCCAGATTCAGAGCTTTCCAATCAGACCACACTGAGCCCTGCTTCACTCATAAGACACTAAGCGCACGCCAAGGCCTGAGCGCTACTCCCCTGCCAGTGTAAGTGTAGTTCAGATGACCTGTACACCAGCTCTGGGTCAACATTGTTAGGTACAGACTAATTCCGATGATACGATGAGCTAGGAGAATTATCCCCCACCCAGAGTCTGCACAGCATTGGGGCAGTAACTCAGGGGCAAAAGTAGCCTGAAACGCTTTTACATACATAACCCCCAACAGTTCTATTGTGAAGGCAAATCATTGCAATCGTGGTTACAAACACACATACTTTGTCTAGCACATCCTCCAGTTTGTACTTTTGTGACTTATTTCTATTCACAAAACATCCTTTGGTATCTTTTATGAACTGATTTCACCTGATTTACAATTTCTCTGGATTAGTAAAATGAGCGTGGACTAGAAGGGAGACAGACAGATAGCATGAAAGCAGTCAGGCTCTCCTGACCCCTGTCTGGATCCTATAATTATAGATCAGAGAATATGTTTGCAGCTAGACTCCCTGGGTTCAAGTCCTGACTCTGCCTGTGTCATTGAATGGTACTTATAGTTATGTCAACTCTTTACCACAGTTTCCTCCTTGTAATACAGAGATGATCATAACTGTACTCAGGGTGAGTGGAAGAATTATATGAATTAGTACGTATGTGCTTACAGCCACAGATGATACATAGCTAGTGTGCAATAGATCATCATTATTATTATCCCCAAACCCAAATAGAAGGCCTCAGGCCACTTATATTTCCTCCTTAAGCCATTTTTAGTTGTGAGATTTTGACTCAATTTATGTACCACCTTTGATCCTCAGTTTCCTCAGCAGTGAAAAGAGGATAAGAACAGTACTTGCCTCATAGAGGAGTAAGAATAAAATGAGAAGACTTCTAGAGACACACCAAGCAGAGTATCTGGGACATGTGGGTTCTGAGCAGAGCATAGTTGTTGCTTCTCCTTTGCCATGTCAACAGTCAAT